AGTTGGCACCGAAGGCTCGCTGGGGGCTTCATTTGGGCGTGTCGCCGGCGAGCAAGGGCTGGGAGGTGCTCGACCTCACCGACAACAAGGTGGTCACGTCGGTCGAGGTGATCTTCTACGAGACGCTGTCGCTGGAGGTGTGGAAGACGAAGTATGGGCCGGCGTCGGGGCATACGCAGGCGCACTCGCCGACGGACACCTCGACGGCGCCGGACCCCCTGCTCGCTGAAGTCGACGAGCCTGCTGATGACGATGTTGTGGAGGTTCCTCCGCCTCCCCCTGTTCTTGCTCCTCCCTCCCCCGTCGCAGATCGGTCTGCCTCGACACCTGTGTCGGCCACCGGCGATGAGGGGAGCCGTGAGGCGTCGCCTGTAGCGCCGGCCAGTGGCATCGCCGGCGGTCGACAAGGCGCCAAGCTCGTCGACCAGAATCGGAAGCCGTCGACGACAGGGGAGCAGCAGACAGGGGAGCCGGTCGAACAGGAGGCAGCAGCTGGCGTGCAGTCGACAGGGGAGCAGCAGGCATGACGATCGACAGGGGAGCTGTCGAAGTTAGTAGCGGACGAGCAGACGGTCGAAGAGCCGAAGCAGCTGGTCGACGACGAAGACGTCGACGAGGAAGGGGAGCTGTCAGCGGGAGAGGAGTCCACCGACAGCGACGTGGTGGAGGTTCCGGTCGAGAAGCCTGCGCCGGAGCTGCGACGGTCTGGTCGAGCTCGACGGCCGCCAGCGAAGCTGAGCTACCACGCCCACGCCTGCCTGCCACCAGCTGCCTTCACCACGGTGTACGACGAGGTCGACGACGACCTGCTGTACGACGACGCCGAGGAGGATGAAGACCTGCCGGAGCTCGACCCCGACGTGCATGCCGACCCCGAACACCGCTGGGACATCGCCACAATGACGGTGAAGGAGGCGCTGGCGAGCTGGAAGGGTCCGGCGGTGAAGGCCGCCATGGAGGAGGAGATCCGCAGCCTCATCGGCATGGGCACTTGGGAGCTGGTCGAACGCCCACGCGGAGTGAACATCATGAAGAACCGGTGGGTGCTGACGACCAAGTACCGCATCGACGACACCGTCGAGCGCGAGAAAGCGAGGCTGGTCGTGAAGGGCTTCACACAGGTGTACGGCGCCGACTACGACGAGACGTACTCGCCGGTGAGCAGCTACGTCACGCTGAGGATTTTCCTCAGCATCGTCGCCGTCCTCGACCTCAACCTGATGCAGCTCGACATGAAGAACGCTTTCCTGCAGAGCAAGCTCGACAGGGTGCTCTACATGTACCAGCCGGACTACTTCGACGATGGGACCGGCCGGGTGTGTAAGCTGCTGAAGAGCCTCTACGGGCTGAAGCAGTCGCCGCTGCTGTGGTACAGAGCTCTCGACGGAGTGCTGCTGGGGGCTGGCTGGAAGAAGAGTCAGGTCGACGAGGCGCTCTACTTCAAGACCGGCGACGACGGAGTGACCTGCTGGGTGCTGGTCTACGTCGACGACCTGCTCGCTGCCAGCAGCAGCACCGCGATGCTGAAGGAGCTGAAGGAGCTACTGGAGGCCGCCTTCGAGCTGCGGGAGATCTCGCCGGTGGTGAAGTACCTTGGGCTGGAGATCGTCCGCGACAAGCCGGTGAGGAAGCTGTGGCTGCACCAACAGGGCTACGCCGACAAGCTGCGTAGGCGCTTCATCGACGAGGAGCAGGGCGGTCGAGTCCCGAAGACGCCGGTCTCGGTCGACGCCTACGCCGAGCTGACATTCGACGACGAGGAAGCGCAGGAGCGCGAGGAGGAGGAATACCGGCAGAAGGTCGGCTCGCTGCAGTTCGCGGCGACGACGACGAGGCCGGACATCGCGTTCGCCTGCAGCAAGCTGGGGAGCGGCCTCACGGTGAGGAGCGACCAGCATTGGCGCGAGGTCGACCGCTGCCTCGCCTACCTCGCCGACACCCGCGACACCGCCTTGGAGTTCGGCGGTGGACCAGAGTCGCTGGAGCTGATCGGCTACGTGGATGCCGATGACGCGGGCGACAAGCAGAACCGGACAAGCACGGGCGGCTACGTGTTCGTCTACGGAGGGGCCGCTGTCTCCTGGTCGAGCTCGCGCATCAAGTGCGCGACGCTCTCCTCGACCGAGTCGGAGTACGTCGCGGCCACGGATGCTGGCAAGGAGGGACGCCGACTTCGTTTCCTCCTTGCGGAATTCAAGCTGCTCGACGCTGGGAAGCCGACCATCCTCCGCGTCGACAACAAGTCGGCAATCACGGTCGCTGAGGGCTTGGGGCTGACGGGCAACCTCAAGCACATGGAGCGACGCTACGTCTGGCTGCAGCACATGGTGAGGCGCGGGAAGTTCAAGCTGAAGTACATCCCGACCACCGAGCAGCCGGCGGATTTCCTGACGAAGGCGCTGCATTTTCCGGCTTTCAACCGGTGCTCTGTCGCCATCGGCCAAGTTCGTCTGGCCGACGTCGGCGACGGCGACGACGAGGTGCAGCAGTAGGTGCCGTGCCCTTTTGCACGGCTGGTGCGGTGACGGCGTGCTGTGTGTGGGGTGCACGCCGAGGACGAGTTTTCTCCGTGGAGTACTGCCGTGTGGGCTGGAGGCCCAAGCGTGAGCGCGGCAGGGGAGTGTTAACGGGAATGGAGTGTTGGCCCCGCCCTCGCTTGGGCAACGCCAACGACTTGGTCGGATGTACGGGTGAAGCAGCCGACCGTTCGCAGTGAAGGAGCTGCTCGACGGGCTTCGTCGAGCTGCAGGATGTCACTGTGGAGCTTCCGTCGACCAGGGGTGCTCGACGGGCGCAACTGACTGGCCTGGGCGATGGGTGGGCCGTCCGGGAGGTCGCCGAAGCAGTCCGTCGACCTAGAGCTCGACGGGTAGGTCTCGGGAGCATCCCGTCGAACTACAGCTCGACGGGGAGGTCTTGGGAGCTTCCCGTCGAACTTCAGCTCGACCGGGAGGGCTGGGGGGCGTCCCGTCGACCTGCAGCTCGACCGGGAGGTCCGCGAAGCATCCCGTCGACCTGCAGCTCGACCGGGAGGTCGACGGAGCAGTTCTGGTCGACGGAAGGGGTCCGTCGACCAGGGGGTAGCTCGACGGGAGCTGTGGTCGACCAGAGGCACCTGGTGGTCGACCGGAGGCACCTGGTGGTCGACCGGGAGCATCTGGTGGTGTCCAGGTCGACCGGGTAACCTGCTCGACGAGTTCTGCGGAGGCACGCGAACGTCGTCGAGATCGCGATGACGAAGGCGACTTCGGAATGGTATCCCGAAGTCGATGTGGCTCGTCAGGCGCAGACAACAGCCGACGGATGCCCAACGAGGCAAGTCGGGCCAATCGTCTGCGCGCACCTGTGAGCATGCGCATTGCTGTCTTCTACGGGGCAACGCTGGACAGCCGCTTTGCTGCAGCGTTGGCACGCCGTCGACCTGCAGTGTTGGCAGGTCGCTCTTCTGCAGTGCTGGCGCGGCTCCTCTACGCAACGCTGGCACGCGGTCGACCATGCAGTGCTGGCGGTCGACCAGGCTAGCTGCAGAGTTGCTAGGTGCCTGATGTAGTCAGTTCTGTCATTGCTTGTTTATTCATGCTGTAATTCCAACTTTGCTAGTGGAAACTCTTGCCAACTTCTCCCGTGAATGTGCAAGCACTAAGGAACCAAGCAAAGCTACGATCACTCCTAGTAGTTCGTGCCAACCCCCGTAGTCTAGCTCACTACCGTTGTAGAGTGAATCTCCGCAGTAGGAAGCTGCCTATTTCCCCTCCGCAGCTTCCTTCTCTGGCAAAAAATGCCCCCTTCTTCCCCCCTTTCGAAAACTGCTCCTGCCCTGGTTGTGGGACGGAGGGGGGACGGAAGCGCTGGGTTAGGGAACACCACGGTTCAACCCTTCTTAGCAAACAGCCCCTCCCTGCAGTAGCCCAGCCAGGGACGCGTCAACCGAGGTTAAAAAAACAGAAGCCTTCAACCTCCTCCAACTGAGAAGTGTATGGTTTGCTGGAGGGAGAGCTTGGGTGCGTTTTTTTTTTGGGACGTGGTAGCCCTTTGGTAGACTTCAACCCTTTTTCTGTGTTCGCCCAGTTCTCTCTACCCAACTTCTGTGCGTAGGATGTTGTAGCTGTTATTTCGGCATTTACCTTCAGCAGCTTCGCACTCAAAGCCCGAAATTTCCAACTTTCGGTTGTAGCGGGGGGGTCGAGGATTCGAAGGGGAAATTGCCTCGGAACCCTCGTCATTTCCCTTCGCCCCCCCACCTCCCTCCCAAGGGAGATGGCTGCAGAATGCAGCCGGTAGCTTTTCTTGCGGAAAAGCTGCGGAAGACCTTCGGAAAAACACCCAGCGTGAAAGTTGCGGGAATGTCACCTGTGTGACGCGACAAAAAAGCTACGAAAATGTCGCCTCCGCCCCTCAAACGTCCTGAACCACTTTGTGTCCCGTGTGGTAATGAGCGTTACATTGCGGTTAAGAAATTTCAGGTTAGCGACAAAATCGCACGGCCGACGAAATGTTACATGTGTGGTCGAAATTTCTCAAACCTGGAATTGAAACCTCCAATTCACAAGCAGCGCGAATGTTTCACACCAACGAGTATTTCGAATTTGATGGTAACGTCGCCAACCACAAACTGCCAAAAATCTCCTAGCTGGCAACCAATCAACATAAGAACAAACTTGAGTCCACCAATCACCATCGTTCCTTATCTCCACGTCAGCTCCTATCCTAGAACCTCTCGAATATTCTCCCAATCCACCCTTCTTCTACCTCAATCTACCTCCCAGTCTTTCGATCAATTTTGTCTAGCATCGTGGCTCATTTTCACCTTCCTGTTCACATATCTCCAACCCAATCCAGATCTGCCTCTCAACCGTGGTCCTTTATTCTTAATCGCGCTTCTCTTCATGTCAGCAACGTTTTCTGCCCTAGACCAGATCCGTATTCCTTTCCTATGTTAATCTTGTACTTTCCTAAAGTCTTCTTCCATCGTTTTTTTTTTTTTTCTCTTTACTGTGCCAATGTACAGGTTGAAGTCACGATTCAACTGGAGATCCGGAGTCGCTTTACAACCGTCCAGCGGGTGTTCGACGTCGCTGAAATGGCCTTTTTCCGGTACGTGGCCATGTTGTTGCTCTCTACGTTTTTGTTTTGCGCGGCCATTTCGCACGTTTTTTACGGAACGGGACGCTGGGAGTGCGTTCTGTCCTGGTCGATTTGTGTCGCATTGTGTGCAGATGTGTATTTTTTTAACGTCCTGGGGTGCACTCCTCATTTGCGTGCTCTTTTTATGGCTGGCAGGTAAGTGGTCGTTATTTTTTATACTTGCCATGCTTCTAACTTGTTTGTTATTTTGCAGCACTCCTGAAACTCTTGTGGTGATATTCTTGTGCGTTTATATGTTTAGTACTAATTCGTACTTGCCAGGCTAATAACATCAGTTCTTGCAGGTACCAAGGCGAAGAGGAAAATAACTGCCATGGCCTCGTTGAAATTGTTAGAATAGTTGGCAGAACGAGGAGCCATAGCTAGGTAAACCCTAGCTAGGCAAGAGAGAAATGAGCAAAGGAGGATGTTCACTAGCAAGCAGGAAGATACATATTGGAAACCCTAAGGGGTTGTACTCGCTATAGAGTACCCCACTGCAGGCTAGAGAATAATAACATTCTGACACACCCCCATAGTCAAAGTGGGGTATAATCAGCAGAGCAAGCAGTCATAGAGCAGGTTCACAAGTGCAAGCAAAGCTAGAGGCATTCACAAAGGGCAAGTGAGGAGGAGGAGGCGAGACTGTAAGAGGAGAGGAGATAGGAGGCGACGGCTGAAGCTGCAGACACACGGGCAACAGGAGTCACACTGGCACAGCGGCTACCGGAACAGCGCCCCGGACTACTGGAGTAACTGGCTCCGCGGCTAAGACGAGCGGCAGGAGCAACGGACCCACGGGCGACTGGCACAGCTGGCTACGACTGGGCTACCAGGACAGCGCCCCGGACTACAGGTGCTGCTGACGACAAGACGGCATCCTCCGTTCAACCTCCCCCCACCGTCCCACACCCCTCTCACACACCCCCTGCTGAAACCCTAGCTCCACTCCCACGGCACCCCCCTTAAACCCTAAACCCTCGGCTCCCACACACCCACCCCCCTCAGCGGCAGCTGCAGCAGTGGGAGACGGAGGAGGAGGAGGAGCAGGGGACGGCGCACACACTTGTCACCCCCATACCCTCCACCCCCAAACCCTAACACAGGAACGCGGGCAGTAGCGGGGGTGGGGCGCCGGCAGAAGCTCGGGGGACGGACGAGGCGCGCGCACGGGCCTGCCGCAGGCCGGACGAGGCGCGCGCGGGCTGCCCGGGCCGCGCGCGGGCCTGGCGCAGCCCGTACGGGCCGCACGCGGGCCTGGCGCAGGCCGTACGGGCCGCGCGCGGGCTGTACGGGCCGCGCGCGGGCCTGGCGCAGCCCGTACGGGCCGCACGCGAGCCTGGCGCAGGCCGTACGGGCCGCGCGCGGGCCTGGCGCAGCCCGTACGGGCCGCACGCGGGCCTGCCGCAGGCCGTACGGGCCGCGCGCGGGCTGTACGGGCCGCGCGCGGGCCTGGCGCAGCCCGTACGGGCCACGCACGGGCCTGGCGCAGCCCGTACGGGCCGCGCGCGGGCCTGGCGCAGGTCGCGCGGGCCGCGTCGGGCGACGGGGGGCGACGCGCGGGTCCGCGGGCTCCGTGACGGGCGACGGGGGCGCTTCAACGGGCGACGGGGGGCGCTTCGACGGGCGACGGGGCGGTCGACGGGAGGGGGGGAAGCGCGGGTCCCCGGGGTGACGCACGAGGGAGGAAACCGCCGCGCGCCTCGGGGCCACGGCGGGCAGAAAACCGCCGCGCGCAAAAAGAACGAACATCGCGCGCCACGGGACGCGCAACACAGAGGAAGGCAGCGGAACCGTTCTGATAGCATGTGAGAATAGTTGGCAGAACGAGGAGGCATAGCTAGGTAAAACCCTAGCTAGGCAAGAGAGAAATGAGCAAAGGAGGATGTTCACTAGCAAGCAGGAAGATACATATTGGAAACCCTAAGGGGTTGTACTCGCTATAGAGTACCCCACTGCAAGCTAGAGAATAACAACATTCTGACAGAAATTTGATGTTTCTGTTTTACTTGTGTTTTAGAATTGCAGGTACAAGTGGTTGAAATGGCAGCAGTGTTTGTTTTTTGTTGAAATGCCTGTATTCAGATTACTTAGTTGTGACATATAGTCTTGATTGTGTTGGGGTAAGATGTATGCATCGAAATCTTTATAATCATTCAATTCTGAACCACGTCGAAGTGTTGTCGATATATTATCATTCTAAATTTTATTCGTCAGCCAATGCGCTTCGCTTACCCGACATGGCATAGACGATTCGGATTGGCCCAGATGGCATGTTTGTATCCACATTTTACATAGACAGCTTTCAAAAAATATCTACAAACGTGGCCATTTTATGTCCACGTGGCATATGTGACATATATGTGACATATATGTCACTTCGCATGTCACTTTCCAGTTGCTGGAACCCTCGCTGTAGAGTTGCGGCAAAGTTGCGGAGCAGTCACTTTGCACGTAGCCCTGCCCCGGTAGTCTTTGACCTAGACTTTTTTCTTGCGGGAAAGCAACTTTTCGGGCCTTGCACTTTGGCGATGTAGCAGCGCATTGGCGCGACACTACGCTGGCACGGCGGCCGTTAAGCCCGCTGCAGCCGCCTGCACCAAGTCGACTCTCGCGCCATACGCCAAATCTGTCCAACTGACACCTGACGGGTATGTGACTGTTTTGAATCAGTTAATCTCCCTTAAGTACTCCCGTTCTTCCCAATGATATATTCAGGCGCCGAGATAAATTTCACTCCCTTTCTCCCATGCTCCTCCCGCCAGATTGTTTCTCCTGCACTGGAACATCACCGCGATGAACGACGGAATCATCGCTGCGCTCGAGGCGAAGCCCGGCAGCGGCGCCGAGACAGGCTGGATGTCCATTGGCTGGACGAAGAAAGCTGGTCTCATGGCTCCTGCTGACGCGGTGGTGGGGAATCTGAAAGCACCGAACAGCATTGCGGCCTACACTATGAAGGGAAAGACCTTGGCCTTCAATATGATCAAGAAGTCAACCTCAGCAGCGCTGAAGCTCTCTGCGAAATCGGTGGTTTCCACTGCTGATGGTGGCAAGATTGTGAAGTGAGTTTCATCTGTTCCCGCCGCGAGACCATATGCGTTGCAAGAGGCGTTCTTTCCTCAAAGATATTAACGTGCCATGCTGCGTTACCTTTCATTTCAGGTTCACTCGCTTGGGCAAGGGTGTTCTGAGTCCTGTCAGTTACACGGGTAACAACAACATGATCTGGGCCTACTCCAACTCCAAGGCTTTCAACATGCACACCAATCGGTAAATTATCAGACCCGACACTGTCCTTGCACTGAACAATTCGAGTATTTTGCAACTTCCTCACTTCGGTTTCATGGTTTTCTTAACCTTTGAGTGTTCCCTGTTGTCCTCTTGTATCATTGCCTGACTTCTTGCTCTTCACCAGGGGTAGCATTGTCATCAATCTCGGATGCACGCCGGTGTGATGGCGTCTCATCTCTGAGGACGGAATAGTTTGTAGCAGAGAGACGATGTGTAGTGCATCAAGAATCAGCACCAAGGGTGTGACACAGATGCCGTTGAAGTCTTAGGCCTTGCACGGGTGTGGCCCTTGTTGCTGATTGTTGATGCAACTTTATTGAGCATTATACACATACCATACCTCTGTGCACATACCTGTGTGAACAAACATAATATTTTACAGACCCATTCACCATAACCACCCACCATTACCAAGCATACCATCACTACCATCAACTATACCATCACCACCATCACTAACCATTATCCATGGCAGTGCTTGTATGGAAGCACTTTCGACACCTTTTACCCTGCACCATGGAGCACAGGGGCTTCAAATAGTCGCATGGCGCAGCATGTGTGAGCACCAAGAGCAGGCCCTGCACCACGGTCCACGACACGCTGTGCCACGGTCCACGACACGCTGTGCCACGGTCCACGACACGCTGTGCCACGGTCCACGACACGCTGTGCCACGGTCCACGACACGCTGTGCCACGGTCCACGACACGTTGTGCACGTTGTGACACAGCTCCACCATTTCACAGCACTGAACACCACCTCACAGCACCGTACTGCACACCCCAACTCACAGCAGCTGCCCCTTGAGGATCTTCGCCGCCCTCTCAATTGCCCGTGCCGCCCGGAAAATCTCATGCTGCACCGCACTCCACTCCTCCCCACCCTCACTACTGCTTCTCACACTCACCGCACCACCCGCCCCATCCTCGAGATTTCCCTTCGAGGCACTGCTCTTGACGATATCAGCAATTGCATCGCGGATGGCCGGGAATGCTGACGTGGCATAGACGTTGTCCTTCTCAGGGCCGTACACCTGCCAGCCAGGGGGGCGTTGGGAAAGGAAAGGAGATTCAAGAAGACAGGGTTCAAGGAGCAGACCTTGGTTAAGATCTTGATTGAACCTGGACCCGGCAGTGTCTACCGGTAGTCCTCTCCTCTCTCTAGACCATACACACACCGTGTCGCTGTTGTTCTCCTCAGGCCTGTGCGCCTGGTAGGGGGGTGGTTGGGAAACGAAAGGAGGTTGGAGACTTTCTGAAACTGGATTGGGGAGTGCTTATAATCGTTATGTAAACTGAGCCTGAGTCACTTTTGAGAACCACACACACAAACACACACACACACACACACACGCACGCACGCACGCACGCACGCACGCACGCACGCACACACACACACACACACACACACACACACACACGCACGCACACACGCCCACCGCACGCGCGCGCGCACGCTCGCACGCACACCTCACACCTGTATGTTACACCCTGCATGGTGAACAATGCACCATCCACACACATGCCACCATAAGCATACCCCCGCCCAAAGCATCTACCGTATCCCACAGTTCCATCAGCGGACGACTTTGAGGCACTTTACTGATGGACGCCCACCAGATGCTTGAGTGGACGTGCTTCAGTGCTCACCCACCCTCACACTCTACCTCACACCATGACTCTTCCCTCCCACCCACCAAATGCCTGCCTGAATCAAGTGTAGTGCGATCCAATACCGTGCCCGACCAGGAACCCCCTCTTCGCCAGAAACAGACGCCCACTCAACCCTTTCAACTGCGTTGTACCGCAAGATACCCACCGACAAGCACCCACCCCTTCACTGCCTCACGCCGTGAGTCTTCCCTCCCACCCACCAGGTGCTTGAACCGCGTGTAGTACAGTCCGCTGTGGACCCTCTACAAGCAGAATCAAGGTGCCAGGGAACAATGACTTACCGCACTCCATATGCATGTCACACCAATAACCCGCCTCACAGTAGCGTCATTCTTCCACCCACCAGGTGCTTGAACCACATGTACTGAGGCCCGATGCCATGCCCGTCCAGGAACCCCTGCTCAACCGACACCCATTTAACCCCTCCAACTCCCTTGCCCCACACCTCAGTGCAAATCGCATGCTCCACAGCAAACCCATCGACACTCAGCCACCCCTACAGAATGTTATACCACGACCGTCCCACCCACCAGGTGCTTGAACCAGGTATAGTGCGGGCCGATGCCATGCCCGTCCAGGAACCCCCTCTCCGCCAGAAAGAGGCGCTCGTTCACCCTCCAAGTCCCTTCACCTTGGCCCACCCCTACGGTGTCTTATAGCGTGGCGCCGCTTCTTGCGTCTGTCTGTCACCTCCTGGCTGCTGCTCAAAGCATTGAAGCGGAAATTGAGGTGTGGAAACTGGTATTCCATGTTCAGGTGGAGTGCGCAGAGGTGGGGTGCACAGCGGTGGGGTGCACAGCGGTGGGGTGCACAGCGGTGGGGTGCACAGCGGTGGGGTGCACAGCAGTGCTCGGGGCATTGAATCTGCTCTGCACGCCTTACCAAACCCCATGATTGTCGTCCCTCCCACCTTCCATCTCGCACTCCCCTCACCCCTTTCCCTTCAGCCCTCTTCTCTTCACCCTTTCCTTCCACCTCACACCCCTCCCACCCAACCGCAACCTTCGCCAACCCCACCCCACACCCCTCGAATCCCTCCCCCCCTCACCCCCCTTCCTTCCCACCGCCAGAGCGCAGCACAGCGTCCAGCAGCAGTGCATGCAGGTGCACGTGGGGGAGGGCGCATCCAGGAAGGGCACCAACTGCCTGGCGCCCGCCACAGCGTCAGATTAGAATCATGCTTTGATTAAAAAGCTACATCCTCCGCTATTGCTTCTATATTTCTAAAGGAGCGAGATCTCACACACACTCCTCCCATCCTCCCCCCTCTTCCCCCCTTCCCTCTTTCAATCCCCAAAGGCAATCAAAACGAGCAGCACTGGGTGCCGGTGCAAAGGGGGAACGTGTCCCATGGAGGGCGCATCTGAGGAAGGTGCTGACTGAGAGATGACGGGGCGCCTAGTTCCGCCACGTCAGCCTGCAGCCTTGCCATGTCATGCTGCAGGTGGGCGGCGTAGGCGGTGTAGTTGAAGGGCAGGCGGCGGTTGCCTGCCAGCCTGGCAGCCACGCCAGCCATCAGCTTGGCGATTGCCACGTGGCGCTTGAAGAGTGGATCGGCAAATGTGGCCATCCAATGGTAGTTGTCGTACACACTGTGGAACATGGGGAAGGCTGGTCACACATGGGTAAAAGGGTAGAATGGGGAGGGGAGAGTGACAGAGGCGATTCAACGCTACTTAAATGAAAGGTGGCCATCGAGTGGTAGTTGTCGTACACACTGTGGAACATGGGGAAGGCTGGTGGAGCGAGAGAGGGGCAAGGAAGAGGGGGGAGAGTGGGGGAGGGAGGGGGGAAGGGAGAGGAGAATCGACTTAGAAGCCATCCAATGATAGGTGTCATGCATGCTGTGATGCATGGGGTAGGCTGGTTGCCATGAGGGAGAGAGAGTGGAATGATGGGGGGCGAGTGAGGGGGTGATAAGGACCTTTTAGACACCCTAAAGGGCATCAAATGGGAGGTGTCATACGCACTGTGGTGCATGGGGTAGGCTGGTTGCCATGAGAGAGGGGAAAGGAAGGGGGGGAGATGGGAAGGGGACGTTTGACACAACATAGGTTAGCATAAGAAGAAACATCCTGCTCATAACCACACACCATCCCACCCCTTGTTTTCTCACCAGTCCCTTCAAACCTCGCACCACCCCCTTATTAAACTCACATCCTCCAAAGTAGGTGTCTGCTGCGGAAATCCCAAGGTGCTGCAGGAATGGTGAGAAGTCGCTGCCTCCACCTCCCAGCCGCCCCAACTGCAGCATGCTCTAGGAACGCACGTGGGGGATAGACAAGTATGAAGTGACAAATGACTGGGGTTGGAGTTGCAGAAAGGGATGGCGAGCTGAGCTTTGAGAGGAGTCAAGCATGCAATGGGGGATGTGAGTGAGAGCATGTGCGCTGCAGAAACAGGTGCTTTCAGGATGATACAGGGTGGTTAACACGTACACCAGAACTAGAGTCTAAATTCATGCACTCATCTTACCTCGCTCGCTGCACGATGCACCATGCCCCATGCACCATGCACCATGCCCCATGCACCATGCACCATGCCCCATGCACCATGCACCATGCACCATGCCCCATGCACCATGCACCATGCCCCATGCACCATGCACCATGCCCCATGCACCATGCACCATGCCCCATGCACCATGCACCATGCACCATGCACCACGCACCATGCATCAACAACAACTTGCCTCAGGCTTTGACGTGTCGTGCTCAGCCGCCCAACCCTCCAATAGCGACTCGCCAGCTGGACCGTTGGGATTGGCCACCTGGAGGGGCGTTGGACGGATGAAGGGAGGGAGAGCTGGAATTAGGAAGAGTGGGAGAAAAGAGTGGAGAGAGAGAGGAACGGGAAACTGGGTAATAAGAGTGAAACATAAGAGTGGGGGGAGGGAAGCAAGAGAAATCGGGGAGAGGGAGAGTGGGGAAAGAGAGTGGGGAGAGGGGGAGAACAGCACGAAGTGGGGTCGTTTTTAAAATTTCTCAAAAGCGACAGCATGAAGTGGGGCGGGGAAGGGGTGCGCGAGAACAGGTTGGAAAGAAAGCACCGAGCTGTCTCAAAATCCCCAACTACTGTTTGACCATGGTCCACATGGCTCCAGCGCACCTGCCTGCTGATGTCATCATGGGTATCCAGCTGCCGACGGGTCAGCGTGCCTACCTGGCTGCTGACGTCACGGATGAGGTCATCAAGTTGCGGGGTGGCGGAGGCATGGAAGCCCCCTCCCCCCACGGCTGTGTCCACGTTGATGTACGTCACTGCTGATGTTGCTAGGACAGCCGCGTTGTCCTCCGCCCATTCGGTTGACCCCAACTAAAAGATGAGCACGGTTTTGGGTGGAAAGGGTGGGGGGAGTGTGTGTGTGTGTGTGATGTGAAGTCGAGGGATGGGGAAAGCAGTGCGCCTGGCATGGAAGCCCCCTCCCCCCACGGCTGTGTCCACGTTGATGTACGTCACTGCTGATGTTGCTAGCACCGCCGCGTTGTCCTCTGCCCACTCCGTTGATCCCAGCTGTGCATGCATGGGTGGCAAGGGTGGGAGGAGAGGGCAAAGGCAGAGAATGCAAGGGGAGCCAAAAAGAACGTGCCTCGCCCCCTCCCCTTACGGCCACATCCATATCCGCGGCCATAAGCCAAAATGAATACAAGTTTCAAAACTAAAAACTTGTGTGCCATGGCTGCTGTTGGGAACACTAACTCTGTTGACCCCAATCGGTAGTGGTGGGCGGATGATGTTGTGGAAATAGATGGATGGGGATGGGGATGGGCGGAAGGGTGGTGGTGTGGTAGGCATCGAATGGGTAGAGGCCAGGGGAGTGAGAAATGAGGAATCGGGAGACAAATGCATCTTTCCACAACTCCCCCTCTCCCCCCTTTCTCTACTGCCAGCCTTACCCTGTCACCCTATACTGTCACTGTGTCACCCCTACACTGTCACATGTCACCTCTACACTGTCACATGTCACCCCTACACTGTCACATGTCACCTCTACACTGTCACAATGTCACCCCTACACTGTCACAATGTCACCCCTACACTGTCACAATGTCACCCCTAAAAGTGTCACACTCACGCATCCATACTCCTCAGCATCCCAGCTGGCAAACACCAGTGAGCGGCGAGGCGACCAACCACGCGCTGCCATGTGGCCAAACGCACGCGCCACCTGGCGAGGGAAGATTGCAGCAAGAGCAGAACGTGACACGCTCCAGCACCGTTAATACAGGAAATTCGAAAAATCCTGGAAAAAACCGCTCACAAGGAACATCAACTTCCAGCATTAAGTTTTGAGATGTGTAATTTTTTTTTTAAATATTGATAACATGAAGTAGAACAAGCAAGGGAATGATGCACGCACGGAGCAGTGCAACGGAAACAGAATGGATGGAAGCAGTGGGGAGGAACCATGACAGCATGGAGAAGTACAAGAAGCAAGGGAGTGATGCAACGGAAACAGAGTGGATGGAAGAAGTGGGGATGAATGAAGCATGATACCTCGAGCAGACACGAGGTGCCACTGTTGGGGTCGGCAGCGCCAAATACCCACGCGTCGCGATGGTTGCCCAAAATGACGTACCTGCAACCGTGGTAGCGGTGGCGGTGGGGGTGGGGGTGGTGTGGTGGGGGTGGTGGCGGCGGCGTCAGCGGCGGCGGTGGTGGTGGTGGTGGTGAGTGATGGTATATATTGACCTGAGGGCAGAATGCATCAAGATGATGCTGACGGCATCACAACTTCATTGCACATGGAATTCTTACTCGACTCCGGGTGGCATCATGGCAATGGTAGCAACGGCACCAGCGACAGGCATGGTGGTTTCGCTTCAGTGAAGGTGGGTGGCAAGTCGGACACCCTGCATTCCACACTCCCCGCTGCCCTAACCTTGCCTGTGCGCCTGGTGGGTGAGTGGCTGGCAGGAGTTCAAGGTGCAAGGCGCCTAAGCAACGGTCTTGCCACAGACAAGATCAGACACCCCGCAGTCTGCATCACCATTGCCCTCAGCACGCACCTGTCGGGCTGGTGGGTGCCTGGCAGCACGCCGATGACGTTGCGGATGGTGGTCACAGTGGCGTTCATCTGCCATCGGAGCAGGGGAAGGCATGAGCAGGGCGGGGCGGGTAGAAGCACGCAGGTGAGTTACCTCTGGCGGTGGTCACAGTGGCGAGGCGTTTATTGGTAGTAATGCTCACACACAGCAGGGGAGGAGCAGGGCGGGCGTGCAGAGGCATGCGCGTGTGATGTGACAGATGAGAGTGGAGAGGAGGGGATGGCTGGCACCAATCAAGGTGCCTCACCCACGCTGAGTAATGCATGGTGGGTGCATGCATGTACCATGTATGTGCATGAGCGCGCACGCACACATGCACACACCCTCTTCCACAACCCCCCCCCCTCCTCCCCCCCACGCATTCTCACACCTCCAGGTCAACTGCAGCAGGTCCCGGGCCAAACACATAGTGCACGCCCAGCATGCCGCCACGCCAGTCGCGCGGCACCCCCCGCCCCCCCATGTGCGCCATGACAGCCGCCGCCACGCTGTACCCCCCGGCCACCAGCCCCTCCCTAAGGCGCTCTCACCTGCACCTCCAGGTCAACTGCAGCGGGTCCCGGGCCAAACACATAGTGCACGCCCAGCATGCCGCCACGCCAGTCCTGCGGCACCCCCTGCCCCCCCATGTGCGCCATGACAGCCGCCGCCACGCTGTACCCCACGGGCAGCACGGGGATCCGTGGCAGGCGCTTCGCCGTCTGCTCATCGCTCAGCCTCTCCCCACTGGGGTGGGATGGCCACCCGGGGTGGCTGGGTCGCCCTTGCCTGGAGGGAAGGATGAAGGGATAGGGAAGGAGCGGAGTGGCTGGGATGGGATGGGATGCGCATCACACCACAGCATGTGCGTGCATGCGCTGACGCACCAGACAGACCGTCGGGGCTGGTGCATCACGGCACCGCACTGCACCATGCCTGGCTGCCAAGTCCCACAGTACGAGCCCGTGCAGAGCAGATGGTGCCTGTCCCACAGCACAGCACCAGGGTTGGTACACAAGCGCTGCACCCGTGGCCTGTGGGGTTCCTCTTTTACACATTGCATCAGTGCCTCAGCTCAGCATGCTAGTACCTGTGTAGACGGTGCCTCGCTGCGCGCCAGTGGCGGGCAGCCATTGGTTGTGCGGGTACACATAAGCCTCCTCCGTGCCCTCTGGCGCATAGTCCGCTGGATCCGAGTACAGTAGCACTGCTGCCATGTCGAACCTCTCCGCATTCCGAACCTGATGGACCGGTTTGGTACAGAAGGAAGGATGACCAGTTGTGATGTCGGAAAACATAAGGGGAGGGAGGGACTCGGTTGGGGGCAGGCAATGGAACGTCGTTTTACATATCACATGAAGGAGTCTGGATTGCTAACAGCATTTACTATTATAGGATTGTGCATGCTCACCTTATCCCCTCTGAAGTTCTTCCCATAACGAATCAGCGCCACTGTGCCTTTCACCTGCTCCTCCCCAATCGCCGCCACCAGCGTCTCAAAGTCCTCCATGCGCCCATAATTCGCATACACCACCGCCGCTCCTTCCGCCTCTCCCGCTCCTTCCCCCTCCGCCTCCGCTTCTCCCTCCCCCTTTCCGCCAACCCTTCTGCGCACCCCCCCGCCGACCCTCCCGCTGCCGGAGTACGCGTTGAAAGGGTCGGTGGCGGCGCGCGAGGCGCTAAACGGGTCGCCGGGGACGGGCTGCTCGCGCAGCGAGAAGCTGCGCGCGACGGGGCGCACGAGGCGCAGCGACTGGCGCAGCGGATAGGAGAGCAGCACGGGGTAGTCCGCGTAGTGCGCTCGCAAGCCGTACGACTGCCGTGGGATGCGGGGAGGATGTGGGGGGGAAGGAAGAGGTGAGAGGGACGTTAGGCTGTTTGAACTGACTCAAGGGTCACCTTGAGGGTTCTCTACGTAGTGCGCCCGGGGGCCGCTCGAGTGTTGTGAAACGCGGGAACGTGAGGGGGGAGCGCGGGGATGGGGACGTGAAGCTTTCAAAATGACTTGGAAGTCAAGTCACCTCGAGAGTGTTCCGCGTAGTTCACCCGGAGGCCGTGCGACTGCCGCGGGATGCGGGGAAGGGTGGGGGGGAGTTAAGAGGGAGTGGAAAAGAGTTGATAGGATCTGGAATTCTACGGTAATGCGCGCAAGCGTGGAGTCTAAATGCAAATCCTATCCATAGACTCTCGAATTCGCACCTCGAATTTCTCCTTGACGTAGCGGGCAGTTTCAAAGTTTTCGGGGGTGCCCGCGATGTGCGGCTTGGCGGTGAGCTTCTGAAGGTGCAACGCGAGGCTCTCATTGGACACGAGCGAGAAGAGCTTCGGCAGAAACCCGCAGCTCAACCCGTCATCATCGCGACCGTCCAGCGACGAGCACGCGTCGCGTGATTCGTAAGCGAGAGACGCGAAGAAAAGAAAGGTGAATAATCCCAAGCTCAGCAGCAGCGGAACGTACACTAAGGGCGATCGCGGCCTGAATGTGGTCTGCGGCAGCAACGATGAACGATCCATTACGACGTTACTAAGATGCACGAACCGCGAGGAGCGTTCTGAAATGGGAAGGGGCATGCCAGTACTAGAATTTTCTGCCTTCACAGTTCTAGCATTTGGAGGACGGGTCACTGCGGTCGTTCCAGCAGACGAACTCCTCGGATTTCGTCCGAGTGATTGTAGCTAAACGAAGAGACATGGCTGTGTTGACGACATGACAAAGGCTTTCGCGAATATAATCTTTGGCTGCTGGATGGTGGTAACCGAGTTGTGCTGCCGTGAAACATGGTTTCAACCGAACCCACTGCCCTTCCAAATCCTCAAGTACGTGGCCCTCTCCGAACCTAAGATGTTGGTTACCTTTTCGGTAACGCACACCTAGTTGCTGTAGACTTACGCGCTGGATACGCCCTCAACGTCGCTCAGTTTTCGGCAGATCCACATTTTTTGGATGACTAGGTGCGTTCACAATCGTCCTGGTCGGAGTCGTGAGGACCACTTCTGGAATTACTTCGTGATCGTCTGACATGGCGGGAGACACGGACGCAGACGGATTGGCGCCAACGCTTCAGAATATCCTAGACCAGACGTCTTTAAAGTGGATATTTGTTGGCGGTAAAGGGGGCGTTGGCAAGACGACGTGTAGTAGCTGCTTGGCGGTGCTATTAGCGGCGGTTCGCGAGAAGGTTCTTATAATCTCCACGGACCCCGCGCATAATCTCAGCGACGCGTTTCGGCAGAAGTTCACCCGCACGCCGACTCTCGTTAATGGCTTCACGAACCTCTACGCCATGGTACAGCCGCGATGCGAGTCGTTTTTTGTGCTTTCTTAAAATTCACTTACAGTCAACGGCTTCTCGAACCTCTGTTCCGTGGTAAGGACGCGTAGCGCGCCATAGGACGCCCGGACGAGTAGCGCCATGCGCACAGTTTGGCCGCTTAGCGCACAGGAGATACACACACAGTGTGTGCATGTTCGTGTGCGAACCAATGACTAAAGCTCATGGTCTTGGTAATACCAAGGTGTGCCGAGTGTGCGAATGCTTCTCACCACTCTCCTATACCTCAACTGTTTTCACCCTGACCCTTGATCGTCAACAGGAGGTGGATCCGACGGTCGAGACGGACGATTTCGACCAGATGGCGGGGCAATTGGCGCAGTCAACCGGGCTGGGCGGCGCAGGGGGACCAGCGGGGGGGCTGAGCGGGCTTCTGGCGGGCAGCGGCATGGGGAGCGTGTCTGAGCTGGCAGGCGCTATCCCTGGGATTGACGAGGCCATGAGCTTCGGCGAGATGATCAAGTAAGGGGGGCCCGTGATAGGATAGTCCGGACCACATCATACCAGACCAGACCAGAACAGACCGGACCAGACCAGACCAGACCAGACCAGACCAGACCAGACCAGACCAGACCAGACCAGACCAGACCAGACCAGACCAGACCAGACCAGACCAGACCAGTCGACACCGGACCAGACCAGACCCAACCAGACTGGACCGGACCAGGCCAGACCGGGCCAGGCTAGACCGGACCTGACCAGACCGGACCAGACCAGAGCAGACCAGGCTGTGTCTGCTGCAGAGCATTCAACTCGGTCCCCAGGGGCCTTTTCTCCTTTGATTGATGGGCTGCTGAGTTGGCATCACTCCTTCCTTCTCTCCCTGCCACCGCCCCATCCCTCAGGCTCATGCAAACAATGGACTACGGCTGCGTTGTGCTTGGCACAACAACCTGGAGCTGTGGACCACTGGATCAATCAACTCTCCCTCCCATTGGCCCCGCTCCCCACCCCCCTCTCACCCCTCAGGCTGGTGCAGACGATGGACTGCAGCTGCATCGTGTTTGTCACGGCACCCGGGAGCTGTGGACTAATGATCAATTAAATCTTCCCCCCTCTGCCCCCCCCCCCCCGCCCCTCACCCCCCTCTCACCCCGCAGGCTGGTACAAACGATGGACTACAGCTGCATCGTGTTTGACACGGCCCCCACGGGGCACACCCTGCGCCTGCTGCAGTTCCCCTCCACCCTCGAGAAGGGGCTCGGCAAGCTCATGGCGCTCAAAAATAAGTTTGGCGGGATGATGGACCAGGTGTGTACTGCGGTGATGATGTCTGTGAAACTGTGGGCTGGTGTGGAGTGCGATAATGAGGTGTTTAGGTGTGTGATTCTGTGGCCAGATGGCTGTTGCAGTTCCCTCCATGCTGAATAAGGGGCTTGGCAAGCTCGTGGCGCATGTTGTACGTGCATGTACGTGCATGTGCACGTACGTGCATGTACGTGCGTGTACGTGCATGTACGTGCGTGTACGTGCGTGTACGTGCGTGTACGTGCGTGTACGTGCCTGTACGTGCGTGTACGTGCATGTACGTGCGTGTACGTGCACGTACGTGCGTGTACGTGCGCGTACGTGCGCGTACGTGCGCGTACGTGCGCGTACGTGCGTGTACGTGCGCGTACGTGCGTGTACGTGCGCGTACGTGCGTGTACGTGCGTGTACGTGCATGTACGTGCGTGTACGTGCGTGTACGTGCGTGTACGTGCGTGTACGTGCGTGTACGTGCGTGTACGTGCGTGTACGTGCGTGTACGTGCCTGTACGTGCGTGTACGTGCGTGTACGTGCGTGTACGTGCATGTACGTGCGTGTACGTGCATGTACGTGCATGTACGTGCTTGTACGTGCATGTATGTGCGTGTACGTGCATGTATGTGCGTGTACGTGCATGTACGTGCATGTACGTGCATGTACGTGCGTGCACGTACATGCACATACACGCACATACATGCACATACACGCACGTACATGCACATACACGCACATACATGCACATACACGCACATACACGCACATACACGCACATACACGCACATACACGCACATACACGCACATACACGCACATACACGCAGATACATGCAGATACACGCACGTACGTGCATGTACGTGCATGTACGTGCGTGTACGTGCATGTACGTGCATGTATGTGCATGTACGTGCATGTACGTGCATGTATGTGCATGTACGTGCGTGTATGTGCATGTATCTGCGTGTATGTGCATGTATGTGCGTGTATGTGCGTGTATGTGCGTGTATGTGCGTGTATGTGCGTGTATGTGCATGTATCTGCGTGTATGTGCATGTATGTGCGTGTATGTGCATGTACGTGCATGTATGTGCATGTACGTGCGCGTGTACGTGCATGTACGTGCATGTATGTGCATGTACGTGCGTGTATGTGCATGTATGTGCGTGTATGTGCATGTATGTGCGTGTATGTGCATGTATGTGCGTGTATGTGCACGCAGGTGCATCCCTCTCCCCAGGTGTTGCGGATGATAGGGAGGGGTAGGCGATCAGCAAGGGGAGGACGGAGTAACGCCCTCTCTATCGCACCCTCTCACTGGTCTTTGGGCCATGCTTGCTGCTTGCATGTAACTGTTTGTATGCGCCTGCTTGCGCATGTATGCGCGTTTCCCCGTTTTCTCCCTCCAGGTGGCGTGCGTGGTGGGTGTGGGCGAGGAGCTAGGGGAGGACGTGATGGCATTCCTGTGGTCTCATCTTGGTATCACACTCATGAATGTGATGCATGCATCCATGAATGTGCATGCATGAATGTGCGCGTGCATCCCTCGCCTCGCTCCAGGTATCGCGCATGATGGGGGTGGGCGAGGAGCTAGGGGAGGACGTGGTGACGTCGAAGCTGGAGAGCATGAAGAGCGTCGTGGAGAAGGTCAACTTGCAGTTCAAAGACCCTGTGAGTCAACGCCAGTCAACATGCACCGTGTGAGTCAATGCAAGTCAACACGCTGGCAAACATGCAGTTCAAAGCCCCTGCGCGTGAACATGACTCAATGCCAGTCAACATGCAGCATTCGTGCGTGCGTGCGTGTGTGCACCTTTCTCTCTACAAGACAGCATGCTTGATCTGTGCGCTTGCTGTTAGCTGGTCTGAGCTTCTAGCCACCTCCCCTCCCTTGTGCCTGTGCCCCACCAGGACATGACCACGTTCGTGTGTGTGTGCATCCCCGAGTTCCTCTCGCTCTACGAGACGGAGCGCCTCGTGCAGGAGCTGGCGCGCTTTGAGATCGACACGCACAACATTGTCATCAACCAAGTGCTCTTTCAGCAGGAAGGTGAGCTGCTCTTCCAGCAGGAAGGTGAGCTGCTCTTCCAGCAGGAAGGTGAGCTGCTCTTCCAGCAGGAAGGTGAGCTGCTCTTCCAGCAGGAAGGTGAGCTGCTCTTCCAGCAGGAAGGTGAGCTGCTCTTCCAGCAGGAAGGTGAGCTGCTCTTCCAGCAGGAAGGTGAGCTGCTCTTCCAGCAGGAAGGTGAGCTGCTCTTCCAGCAGGAAGGTGAGCTGCTCTTCCAGCAGGAAGGTGAGCTGCTCTTCCAGCAGGAAGGTGAGCTGCTCTTCCAGCAGGAAGGTGAGCTGCTCTTCCAGCAGGAAGGTGAGCTGCTCTTCCAGCAGGAAGGTGAGCTGCTCTTCCAGCAGGAAGGTGAGCTGCTCTTCCAGCAGGAAGGTGAGCTGCTCTTCCAGCAGGAAGGTGAGCTGCTCTTCCAGCAGGAAGGTGAGCTGCTCTTCCAGCAGGAAGGTGAGCTGCTCTTCCAGCAGGAAGGTGAGCTGCTCTGCAGCTTGACAACGGAAGATCTGAGTGGGCACAGTAGTCATCAGGTAACCTTGGTTGCAGCACTGCTTGAGATGGACACTCATGACATCAGGATCAACCCAAGTGCTGTTCCAGGAGGAAGGTACTTGGAGCAGCAAAAGTACTTGGATCAATTCAACGAGCTGTATGAGGCGTCAACTCATGTATACAAGATTCCCCTCATCGTTTCCCTCTTTTCCTTCCCACTTTCTCTTTCTACCGTCAGAAGGGGAGTCATACCAGCCGGCGGGTGAAGCGGCCAATTCAGCGAGCTGTGTGGAGAGCCACTCAAAGACCCATCTCCCCTGTTTCCCTCCCCATTGTTCTCTTTCTCCCACACAGCCGGGGAGTCGAAGCTGCTAGCAGCGCGGGTGAAGATGCAGCAGAAGTACTTGGATCAATTCAACGAGCTGTATGAGGACTTCAACATCACACGGTTGCCCTTGCTGGAGGAGGAGGTGGGGAGGGGTTGGGGGAGAGAGAGCAAGTTTTTGTCTGTGCATCTGCTTGTGCATATTTGTGCGTCTGTGTGTGCGTGTGCCAGCATGTGCTTGCATGAGTGCATTTCTGTATGTGGGTGTGTGCACATCTGTAAGTTGTCAAGCCCACTCATATCTTCCATGTTTAAAACCCCAGAGATAGTACAACCTATGGTGCATGCGCTGTTTGCGATGTCTCAGAGCGCACTCATCTTCCACCCCATGCTGCATGCGCCACCTGCAAGGACTCCCTAGGATTCCATGATGAGCCGGTCATCCCACGATGCGCCCCATCCCACTGCAAGCACCTCCTCACGTTTTTAAGACATCTCAAATGTTTTGAGACATCTCAGAACAAAATTCTGAGATGTGTGAAAGCTGCGAGGAGTGGGCTCCCTTAAATTCCTCTGCATGCAGCACCTCCTCACGCCATGCGTCTCCCACCTGACCGCAAACCTTTCAAATTTTCTGTATTCCTCACCTAATCTCACCTCACCACACCACACCACACCACACCACACCACACCTCACCTCACCCCCACCAGGTGCGAGGAGTGGACGCCCTCAAATCTTTTGGGAAACACCTCATTACGCCTTATGTTCCCCGGCCGGTGCCACCTGTCGCAACACGATTGGTGGAGCTGGAGCAGGAGGTGAAGGAGCTGCGACAGAAGCTAGAGGAGACACAGAAGGAGCTCGCCAAGTATAAGAGCTCGTGACTTGGAACCGAACGAACACAGTGCTTTGTACAGATGGAGGTTGGCCAGTTTAAGACCTCGTAACCAAAAGAATCAAAGAAAAGGACGGTGTACAAGGGCTCATGAGCTGATGGTGATTTGAGCTGATGGTGGTATGAGCTGATGGTGATACCGTATGAGCTGATGGTGATATGCTGATGGTGATTTGAGCTGATGGTGATATGAGCTGATGGTGATATGAGCTGATGGTGATTTGAGCTGATGGTGATTTGAGCTGATGGTGATATGAGCTGATGGTGATATGAGCTGATGATGATTTGAGCTGATGGTGTTGGGAATGCAGCTCCTTGAAATCTTCGGGTGGAGCTTCGGCAGGAGTTAGCTTCATGAGGGAGCTAGCAATGTGCGACGGTGCGAGTGTGTCACTAGCTGATGACGATTCAGGATGAAAATTCTGGATTCAAGAACCACAATTCACGCACACTTATACCTCAAACATGTTAGTGTCACAAGGCTTAGGCTAGGATGCTTGATTAGGTCAAGGGGGGGAGTACAAGAATGTCGAGAGAAATTGTGTACCCCCTAGTGTTAACCCCCATATAGCCTAGCTAAACTAAACATGCATATACATTTGGCAACCCACTAGAGGCTATAACATTTGACAGTTAGGGCGTATTCCTACGGCCCCCTATCACGCCACCTCTTATCAAGCTCCGAAAAAATCACACTGAATTTCACGCAAACCCGAAACCCTTCACGCATTTTACCAGGCATGTCTGATAACACGTGCCTGATATGGGGACGTAGGAACACACCCTTATAATAACAATAAGCTTGACTGTGCCTAAGGGCGTGTTCCTACGTTCTTGTCATGCAAACCTCTTGTCCGCCTTGCCTGGTAAAAGTAGCGAGGATTTCTAGGTTTAGGGAATTTTCAGTGTGTTTTGACGCGAGCTTGATAAGGGGTTGGCCTGATAAGGGGCCGTAGGAACACGCCCTAAAACGAAAGAGGGTGCACAGTCGGATTTTCTCAGAAACTAAACACAGCGGAATGATTAGGATTGATAGGGTTGGGGTACACATGCCTAACCCTAACTGCTTGTACCCCATATAGCATGACCCACTAGAGGCTATAACATTTGACACACCCCCATAGCCTAAGTGGGGAATGCCAAGCAACAAGAAACGCAACCTAAGGTCACAAGACCAGTCACAAGCAAAAAGGAAAACAAAGCTCAGGGTGGATCACAACGTCACCACACAGTCTGAGCACAAACAAGGGGCCTCAAGACCAGTTCAAGAGTGTACAACCTAATATATATGGTGCACACAAACAAGAGGCAAGAACTCACTACTGCAGTCTACTAGACCCAGTCTCAACGAGGCCTAACTGCAGACAAAACCGGCGGTGGTCACAAGGCTGAAGGGCCTTGGTGAAGATGTCTGCAGTGTTGGCCTTGGAGGCCACGAAGTCCAGACGAGCCTGTCCGCGTCTCTGCAACTCTCGAAGGAGGAAGTACCTGACGTTGATGTGCTTCACTCTGCTCTCCAGTCGAGGCTCACGACACAGGAGAATCATCACCTTGTTGTCAGCAAACAAGGTCGGTGCAGAGCTCGGCCGCTCACCAAGGTCAGTGAGCAAGAAGGTCAACCAGCGTAGCTCCTGTGCAGCAAGGGCTCCAGCGTAGATCTCGGCCTCTGCGGTAGAAGTCGCAACAGAGGAGGACCGAGTAGACCTCCACGAAACAGCTCCAGAGCCCAGGCTGAAACGGTAACCTTGCGTAGACCTCTGAGTCTCAACGTCGTCGCCATAGGAGGAGTTGCAGTGACCGGTGAGTACAACTGGCTGTGTCCCTCCAAGTACAAGCCCCATCTTTGATGTCGCGCCTAGGTACTTCGCCACCCTCTTAGCCGCCGTCCAGTGAACAGGACGGTGTCTCCTTGTTGCAACAAAGCGAGAAAGGATGATAAGAGGGAAGGCGAGGTCCGGGCGAGTGCACGTCATCAGGTACATGAGGCAGCCCACCAGCTCTGCGTAGGGACCACTGGGCTCGAACGGCTCGTCAGGAAAAGGCCCAGTGAGTCTGTGGTCTACAGCAAGAGGGGTGGGTGTAGGAGAAGAGTGCTGAAGCCCGAACCGCTGAAGGACCTGCTGCACCATGTGTGACTGAGTCAAAGTGATGGTGCGGGCGGCTCTGTCCCTAGAGATCTGCAGGCCAAGGTAGCGGCGCAGTTCCCCAAGGTCAGTGCAGGTGTGTCTCTTCTGCAGTTCGGACTTCACCTCCGCCAGTGCAACTGTGTCGGCTGTGGCAAAAACCAAGTCGTCAACGTAGACCAGAACGAAGAAAGGTGTGCGCCCACGACGAACAAACAGCGACGGGTCGGCGGAAGACGGCTCAAACCCGAGGTCGGAGAGAGTAGAGCGGAGAGTGTCGTGCCACTCACGGGGTGCCTGGCGGAGACTGTAGACCGGTCGTCTAAGGCTCCACTAGGTCCCAGGCGGGAAGGTGCCAGTGAAGCCCGGAGGACGACGCAGCCAGATCTCCTCGTGTAGGCTGCCCTGGAGGAAGGCAGTGGAGAAGTCAAGAGAGTGTAGCTCGTAGTCTCTCTGCGCTGCTACGTGCAGTAACACCCGAAGAGTGGTCATCTTCAGGGTGGGCGCAAAGGTCTGAAAGAAGTCAACTCCCTCACGCTGACTGAACCCTCTAGCCACGTAGCGTGCCTTGAAGACTGGGGGAGATCCCGGCGGCCGCTTCACCTTGAAGATCCACATGCCGTCAACTATGTTCGCCCCTGGGGGGGGAACCTCGTCAACGTAAGTGCCTGTGGACCTGTAGGAGGCCATCTTTGCGTCCATGGCAGCTCTCCACTGAGAGGCCCAAGGCCCTGACACTGCCTCAGCGTAAGTGTTAGGAGTAGGTATGTCAGGAGCGACGGGGTCTCCCTCAGGAGCGAGGAGCATGGCACAGAGATGAGGCGAAGCAGCTGCCAAGAACTCTAGCTCAAAATGACTGTCCTCTAGGACATCACAACCAAAGGCAGACTCACCCCCGGCAGACAGAGGACGGACAGGAGGAGCGGCCATAATACGAGTGACGTAGTCAAGGCGACGCGTAGCTGTCGAAATCAACAGACAGGAATGATTGAACTAGCAGTGAAATCAGTACAAGTACCTAACCCTAGAATTGTGTACCCCCTATAGGCTAACCCACTGTAGCCTAAACAAACACAACATATATAATGTTTGACACACCCCCATAGGCAAAGTGGGGGAGAGCAAGGGGTCACAAGACCAGTCAAAGCAAAGCAAAACAAGCTCAGGGTGGATCTCAAGGATACCACACAAATTCCGAGCACAAGCAAGTGGTCACAAGACCAGTTCACATGCAGGTTGATAATATAGCAAGAGATACAGTGATCACAACCTAGCAAGTGTAAACATGCAGGCATATATATAAAGATCACAGTACAAGCAGAGTCAAGAAGTAAGTAAGTGAGGTCCAGCAGGCACAAGGCCTAGAAGAGTACAGAAACGCTGATGGTCACAAGGCTGAAGCGCCTTGGTGAACACATCAGCAAGGTTGGCCTCAGTGGCCACGTAACGCAGACAAAGCTGACCACGCTGCTGCAGCTCTCGAGCAAGGAAGTACCGCAGGGCGATGTGCTTCGTTCTGTGCTCCAGTCTGTGCTCCTCACACAAGGCAATGGCAGCCTGGTTGTCGACGTACAGCACTGGAGGAGAACGAGGCCGCTCTCCCAAGTCGGTCAGCAGGTAGGTCAGCCAGCGTAGCTCCTGGGCAGCCATGGCTGTGGCGTAGATCTCAGCCTCACAACTGGAGCTGAGAACAGAAGAAGAGCGTGTAGAACGCCAAGAAACTGAGCCGGAGCCAAGGCTGAAGGTGTAACCCTGAGACGACCGCTGAGTAGCCTGGTCGTCCGCCCAAGAAGCGTCTGAGTGTCCAGTAAGTACAACTCGGTCTCGCCCTCCAAGCACTAGCCCCATGCCCGACGTACTGCACAAGTAGCGCAACACCCTCTTAGCGGCATCCATGTGCTCCTTCCTGTGACGGCCAGGAGCGACATAGCGTGCAAGGATGCTAAGAGGGTATGCAAGGTCAGGTCGAGTGCAGGTCATCAGGTACATGAGGCAGCCCACAAGCTCTGGATACGGGCCACTCGGCTCTACGGACTCATCCGAAGGCAGAGCTGAGAGCGAGTGACCGGTAGGCAGAGGAGTGGACTGAGGCGAGGAGTACGTGAAGCGGAAGCGCTGAAGGATCTGCTGCACCATGTGTGACTGAGTCAAGGTGATGGTGCGCCGTGCTCTGTCCCTGGTGATCCGCAAGCCAAGATAGCTTGTCAGTTCACCTAGGTCTGTGCACGTGTGTCTCCTCTGCAGCTCCGACTTCACGTGGGCGAGTGCCGCGGTGTCAGCAGTGGCAAAGACCAAGTCGTCGACGTACACGAGGATGTAGAACGGCAGCAGTGAGGTGTCTGTGCGTAGAAACAGTGACGGGTCAGCAGTAGAGGGAGCGAACCCAAGAGCCGCAAGTGTCGTCCTCAGTGTGTCGTGCCACTCACGCGGTGCCTGGCAGAGACCGTAGACCGGCCGCTGAAGCCTCCACTGGGTACCAGGAGGAACCGACCCAGTGAAGCCAGGAGGGCGGCGCAGCCAGATCTCCTCGTGCAGGCTACCCTGCAAGAAAGCAGTGCTGAAGTCAAGTGAGTGAAGCTCGTAGTCGCGCTGAGCGGCTATGTGCAGCAGCACCCGAAGAGTGGTCATCTTCGGGGTGGGGGAGAAGGTCTGAAAGAAGTCAACTCCCTCTCGCTGACTGAAGCCTCGAGCCACGTAGCGCGCCTTGAAGACAGGAGGAGAACCCGGTGGCCGCTTCACCCTGAAAATCCACATGCCACTGACGATGTTCGCCCCAGGTGGGGGAACCTCGTCGACGTAGGTGCCTGTGGACTTCCAAGAAGCCATCTCTGCGTCCATGGCTGTCTGCCACTGAGAGGAGTAGGGA